TGTACAAGGCACTGCTGTCTTGGGGGTACTAATATGAACCAGACACAGTGTTTGCACCCCTCAAGGACGAATATGGCAATAAGACATGGCAAAAAATAACTCTGATGCTAGACAGTCACAGGTAAAACTGACAATAAGTTTTAGGACATCACGGATATGGAAGAACACAGGTGTGGTGTTTCCTTTGTCTGCAGGGTACAAATTTTTTTTTTTTAATTGTACTTTAGGTGAAGGTTTCTAGAACAAATAGTGTCTCATTACACAGTCAGTATGCATATTGTTTTATGACACTGGTTAACAACCTCACAACATGTCAACAGTCTCCCTTCTCGAACGTGGAAGACCTTTTTTCTTTTTTGGTGAAAATATACATAGCCAGAGATACACAATTTCAAAAATTTCTACGTGTACAAGTCAGTGACATCGATTATGTTCTTCCAGTTGTGCTGCTATTCTCACTATCCTTTTCCAAGTTATTCCATCATCATTATCTTCAACTCACTGCCCCCTACGCTTCCCATCAAACCTTTTGAGTTGCTACTGTCAATTTGATCTCACATAGATAGTTCTTTTTTTTTTTTGTACTTTAGATGAAAGTTTACAGAACAGAATAGTTTCTCATTGAACAGTTAGTACACATATTACCCTATGACAATGGTTACCAACCCCATTACATGTCAACACTGCCCTTTCTCAACCTTGGGTTCCCTATCACCAGCTTTCCTGTCGCCTCTTGCCTTCTAGTCCTTGTCTCTGGACTGCTGTGCCTTGTTAATCCCATTTTGTTTTATGGGGCTGTCCAATCCCCAGCCAAATGGTGAATCTTGGGAGCAACTTCACCACTGAGCAAAAAGGGTGTCCGGAAGCCATACTCTCGGGGTTTCTCCAGTTTCTGTCAGGCCAGTAAATCTGGTCTTTCTTTTTGTGTTAGAATTTTGTTCTACATCTTTCGCCGGCTCTGTCCAGTACCCTCTGTTGTGATCCCGGTCAGAGCAGTCAGTGGTGGTAGCTGGGGGCACCATCTAGCTGTACTAGACTCAGTCTGGTAGAGGCTGTGGTAGCTGTGGTCCATTAGTCCTTTGGACTAATCTTTTCCTTGTATCTTGTTCTCTTCATTCTCCCTTGCTCCCGAAGGGGTATGACCAGTGGAGTATCTTAGATGGCTGCTCACAGGCTTTTAAGGCCCCAGATGCTACTCACCAAGGTAGAATGCAGAACATAAACTGTGTTATGCCAATGCAGCTAGATGTTCCCTGAGAGCATGGTCCCCACAGCCCTCTACCCAGCAATTCAGTCCCTCAGGGAGTTTGGATGTGTTTATGGAGCTTCCATGACCTTTCCTTGTACAAGCTGTGCTGGCTTCCGCAGTATAGTGTACTGTCTTACCCTTCACCAAAGTTACCACTTATCTATTGTCTATTTAGTATTTCCTCCCCACCCCTCTCATCCCTTGTAACCAACAAAGATTGTTACTTTTTGTGTCTAAACTTTTTCATGACTTTTTATAGTAGAGGTCTCATACAATATTTGTCCTTTTGTGATTGACTTCTTTCATTCAGCATAATGTCCTACAGTTTCATCCATGTTATGAGATGCTTCACAGATTCATCATTGTTCTTTATTGTTGCGTAATACTCCATTGTGTGCAGGTCATAGTTTGTTTATCCATTCATCCGTTGAAGGGCATCTAGGTTTTTTCCATCTTTTTGCTATTGTGAACAATGCTGCCATGAACATGGGTGTGCATATGTCTATTCATGTTATGGCTCTCATTTCTCTGGGATATATTCCTAGGAGTGGGATTGCTGGATCTTATGGTATTTCTATTTCTAGCTTTCTAAGGAAGCGCCATATCATCTTCCAAAATGGTTCTATCATTATGCATTCCACCAGCAGTGCATAAGAGTTCTGGTCTCCCTGCAGCCTCTCCAACATTTATTTCCAGTGTTTTTGATTTATGAGTGCGTTTTTTTTGTGGTGCTGACTTTTTCTTTGTTCCTCTTACTCTCCTGTGCTGAGTTCCTTTTGTTTGTGGATTTTTTTTCATTCCTTTTGTTTTTGTAACATTTGTTTTTACTGCGAATTTATGTTTTTCCTCTTTATTTTGATGAGTAGATTTGCTAACTTTCTTTGTGGTTACCAGGAAATTTACCCTTATCTTTCTAAGTTTGAAGCAGTCTATTATTACTTATATCACCTTGCCTTCCTCTCCATTAGAAGTTTCTATACCTACACCGTTTATTCCATCTTTTATTGTTCTGATGTTGTCATTTACAGATTTATTGCTGTTATTCCCTGCTGTATTTCTTTTGGTTTTGGATAGTCCTTGAGAGTTCATTTCCTAGATTAGTATCTGGCTTGTATGATCCTGCATCCTAGATTCAGCTGGTGAGCTGATTTTGTTTGTTCTCAGATCGAAGGACTCCCTTTAATAATTATTGTAAGTTTGGTTTAGTTTTTACATAGTCCCTTAATTTTTGTTTATCTGGCAATGACCTAATTTCACCATTATATTTGAACGAGAGTTTTGCAGGATATATTGTTCTTGGCTGGCAATTTTTTTTTTTCAAGGTTTTATATATGTCATCCCATTGCCTTCTTACCTGCATGGTTTCTGCCAAATAATCCAAGCTTAGTCTTTTTTTTTCTCCTCTGTATGTGACTTTTTTGTTTTTCTCGACCTGCTCTCAGGATTCTTTGTCTTTGGTTTTGGTGAGTGTGATTATGATATACCTTGGTGATTTTCTTTTGGGGTCTATCCTATATGGGGTTCGTTGAGCTTCTTGGATGTCCAGCTTTTCATCTTTCATGACACTGGGGAAGTTTTCTGTCAGCAATTCTTCAATTATCCTCTCTGTGTTTTCTGTTTTCTCCCCCTGTTCTAGAATGCCAATCACTCGCAGATTTTTGCTTTTGATTGTATCCCACATAGTTTTCAGGGTTTCTTCATTTTTCCTTGTTCTTTTTTCTGATTTTTCCTCAAACAGAGTTGTATCCAAGTGTTTGTCTTCAATTTCGTTGGTCCTGTCTTCCAACATTTCAAACCTACTCCTCAGCCCTTCTATGACACTGTCCATTTCTCCAACCTTGTTGTTTATATTTTGGCTTTTTAATTGTTGTTTTTGTATGATTTCTAGTTGTGAATTTATTTTGGCATTTTGTACCTGTATTATTTTCTTAAATTCTTCCATTTTTTTGTCTGTGTTTTCCTTGAATTTGTCTATTTTTTCCTCATTTTTGTCTGCTTTTTGCTTCAACTCTTGGATAGCTCTGAATATTAGAGATTTGTATTCCCTATTAGGTAGTTCTAGTGCCTTTTTTTCTCCTGGAAAGTCATCTGGTGTTTTATTTTGGATGCCTACTGGAACCATCCTGTCCTGTTTTTGTAAATGTTTTGATATTGTCTGCTGTCTTCGGGGCATTCAGTAGTTATTTTTCTCATTTATTGATTGTAGATTTGTTTGTTTTGTCCTGCTTTTTTGTTTTATTTGGCTGTCTGAGCAGGCGGACTGTGTGTTCTTTGTTGTTTGCTCATCTTTAGGCTTGACACTTTTCACCTCCTTCTCCAATTGGCAGGGTAAGTTACTCAGATATGGCTTAGCAGGGCAGGTCTAGCTGAAGAGGAGTTGCTGGGATGGTTGTTTGTGGCACTTATTGCGGCCACCGGGGTGAACCAGTAATCAGTGTAGGGAAGGTTCTGGCAGGCCGTGCCTGGGCTACTTGGTGGTGTGATGTTCAGTGCACGGTGCAGGTAGGCAGAATGGAGGGGGGAGACTGTGATGTGTGGAGCTAAGATGGGTATGGGAGAGAGGAGAGAGGAATGGGAGCCAAAAACATACAAACAAAAAAGAGTGCTAGGGGAGCTTGCAGTTGGAGTGGAAAGATGAGAGACTATGAAATAGAGAAAAATAAAAAGGAGAAAAAGAAAAGAAAAAAATGAATAAAGAAAAATTAGAAAGAAAGGAGAAAAGCAAAGCTCCCAGGGATCCCTCCGGTGGGCCTGCAAGGTCTGGGGAAGTTGCTTCCAGGCTGTGAAGTACAGCTGCCTAGAAGGGGTAGAGGTGTCACTCAGCGCCAGGTATTCAGGGGACAGGAAGAGAAGGAAAGCATAGCGAGACAAGAAACTGAGTAATGAAGAAAGACGAAAAGGGAAAAAGAGGGAAAACAAAACAAACAAATAAAAAAAAAAAAAGAACAAGAACAACCCCCAAAGAAAAACAGAAAAAAAAAAGGCCCCCAAAAAAACAAGAAAAAAGAAATGCGCTCAGGAATCCCTCTGCGCATCTGCGCAAACTGAGGGCGTAGGTCCCAAGCTGCACAGTACTGCCCAGCTAGAACGGGCTCCCAATTCAAAAAAAGAAAAAGAAAACAAAAAACCAATTGAAAACAAACAACCAAAAAGCCCCGGGATCCCACCAGTGTGGCAGGGATCCCACGGGCCTGGCAGCAGTTTCACATTTGAGCGGTGTTTCACTGCCTTTCAGGAAGAAGCAAAGATGGCGCACAGAGCCAGGTATTTGAGAGAAAGGAAGGGGAGGTGGTGAGAGGTAAGGAAGAAATCTAAAGAAGCAGAAAAAAGCAACACCAGCAACCAACAAAAGGCACTTAGGGAGCCGGCCAGTGCGGGCAGGTGGAACCCAAGTGACACCAAGGTGAAAGTGGTGCTTCCCAGCCAAGACACTGGCTGCAGGAAACAGAGGAGTCTGAGTGGGGGTGAAGAAGGGTGGGGGGTGGGAAATTGTATATCGCTGGTTACTGGTTGTTCTCTCTCCTGCTGGAAGCTCTGTGAAGCTGTTTTCTTGTACCCCCTGTTCACTGATCTCTGATAGGAGTCCAAGATGGCATATCCTTGCTGCGTTAGCTGATAGGGGACCTCTGCATGTATCTCTCCTCACTCTCTGTTCTCTGTCAGTTTATTTCGTTTGGTGCTTGACTGAGTTCTTTATCTCTTAATTTGATGCTTAGGGTTTCAGGATTGCTGTTTTCTCTGTTTGGCTTAGTTTTCCAGATCTTTGCTATGGAGGGATTGCATGGTGCTTCTGCCTAGAGCACCATGTTGCCCAGAAGTACCAGGTACAAAATTTTGCATGGAGGACAGCAGGGATGTTCTTGTGTTCTTCACCACATTGCCAAATATGTGATTAAAACCAAGGTAAGTGGATATATTTTTAGAAACATGAAAAATAATTATAGAAATAGATTTGACATTTTAAAAACATTGCTAGGCTAATGGAAGTGAGAGAGTGACTTAAGCTGCTCCTTTCTGACTAGAAAGCCATTTGACTGCTCATCATACAACCGCTGACTAAGTTTTTCAGATGCCTTCCCTGAGCCTCCAGTTTTCCCTTCTGTCACTATGTTTTTCTATTTCTAATATCACACTCCATGATGATTTTTGACTTTCGGACCTGAGGGCATTTGCACCTTAGAAAAGGATTATAAAAACATGTATTAATACTAAGATGGTCATTTCTCTTGCAAACGGGAAATTTTTTTGCAAATAGTAAACCAACATCTTTCAATTGGCCCCATATAAATAATTTTTCCTTGTAGTTGTCCATTTCCAAATTTCTAACACGGGCCTTTCTGTACTGGGAAGGAGAAAATGGGAATTACCTGGAACAACAGCAACCACCAAATGGAATAGCTCTGAATCAGAGTTGGCCTTCTTGATATCTTTGGTGAGGTGACTGTCTTTCTTTTTGTTGTTTTACTTTTTTTTAGGTCAATTAAAAAACTTTTTATTTTGAAATAATGTTGAACTTCCAGAAAAGTTGCAAAAACAGTACAGAAAGTTTCCACATCACCTTCACCCAGCTTCCCCTAATGTTAACATCTTACATAACCATCATAAAAGTATAGAAGCCAGGAAATGAACATTGACACAATACTCTTATCTTATCTACAATCTTATTTAAATTTCGCCAGATTTTCTACATTTTTTTTCTGGTCCAGGATCCAATCCAGGATCCTACACTGCTTTTGGTTCTCAAGTCTGCTAAGCCTCCTCTAATCTGTAACATATCTTTAGTCTCTCTTTGTCTTTCATGACCTTGGCTCTTGAAGAAAACTGGTTAGTTATGAATGTTGCTTTACAGAATGTTCCTTAGTTTGGGATAGTCTGGGTTTTTTTTTAATGATTAGATTGAGGTTATGCATTTTTGGCAAGAATATTACTGAAGTAATCTTCTGCCCTTCTTAGCACATCATATGAGGGGTTACTGTGATGTCAACCTTCATCACTTCTTTAAGGTGATGTCCACTAGATTTCTCAACTATGAAGCTGCTGCTTTCTCTGTTGCAATTAATATGTATCTTGTGGGGGATACTTGGAGACTATGCAAATATCTGTTTTCTGTCATACTTTTGCCCACTAATTTTTGCATTCATTGATGGTTCTTGCCTACAACATTTATTACTGTGGTGTTTGCCTAATGGTGATTTTCTATTTCTCTAATTTCTTTTAAATTTATTAATTGGAAATCCATTGTAAGGAAGAGCTTCTTGTCCAATTATTTATTCAATTATTTATGTATATTAGTATAAATTCATGGATGTTTATTTTATTCAGTGAGTCATAATTCAATACTATTATTATAATTTTGTTGTTCCGATTAAACCATCTTTGGTCTTCCAGAGCTCCTTCAAGTTGCTCTTGTGTCTTTTCAACATCCTACTCCACTTTTTTAAGCACATCTTTACTTTCTGGCAATACAAGTTGTTCCAGGACTATCTTCTATTTTCCTCACTTTAGCCCTGGAATCAACTATTTCTGTAGGGAGCCCTGGTTCATTTTATTGAAGAATAGTATTTAGAACCAAGATCTTGGCACCAAGTGTGCTCATTGCTACTGGGTGTCCTTGCTTCTAATCCTTCTCAGTCTACAGAAATAGGAAATATTGTTGTTGTGAGTCGATTCTGACTCCTAGCGACCTTGGGATAGACTAGAATTGCCCCCACAGAGTTTCCTAGGCAGAAATCTTTACGGGAGCAGATCGCCAGGTTTTTCTCCTGTAGAGCGGCTGGTGGGTTTGAATCATTGACCTTTCAGTTAGCAGTAGAGCACTTAACCATTGTGCCACTAGGTCTCCTTATTTTTAGAAGTCCCTGGTGGCCCAAGAAGTTAAGTACTAAGTATTTATCAAAAGACTGGTGGTTCGAATCCACCCAGAGGCACCTTGGAAGAAAGGCCTGGTGGCCTACTTCTGAAAGATCACAGTCACTGAAAACCCTATGTATTACAGTTCTACTCTGACACACACAAGGTTGCCATGAGTTGGAATTGACTCAATGCCAAATGTTTTTTTTTTAATATTTATTTTTGCATACATCTACATATACATGTATTAAAAACCACGTGCTCACACTTATACCTCTTATTCCAACCCAGCACCAAAGGGTTCATTCTAGTCTCCCTCCTTTCCTTTTTTTGTAACTTCTTTTTCTGAGAGTGAGAAACCTAGCTCTACTATCCATGATGTATTTACTTAATTGTTTGATCCCAGTATGCCATAAAGTAGTTTCAGAACTTAGATTAGTTTTTTTCTTTACCATCCTCTTTAGTTTGTTTATGTTATTCATTTGTAATACAATTGGGTTCGTTTGTATTGTTCGTATTCCATTGGTGGTTCCCACCACATCCTGGTTGATTTTAAGTACTTATTTATTTGTATGTGAAACATTACCATGGTTCTAAGAGTTGGGAGCTGTGTAAAAATGTATACTCAGAGAGGTATCACTTCTTCCACTCATCCCTACCACCCTGTTCCCATCGCCTATTCTTTCCACCCTGTTCCTTCCAACCCTGTGTAGGTAAGCAATCTCATTAGCTTCTGGTTTATTTTTCCTGTTATTTCTTTTGCTCAAATGAGCAGATATGTGCATATATTATTATACCCCCTTCTTTTTTGCATGAAGTGTTACATACTATAGATACTCTTTTACACTGATTTTTTTTTTTTTACTTCACAGTATATCCTGGAAATCACTATGCATAAGTTTATAGAGATCTTCCATATTCTTCTTTTACTACTGTATTGTGCTGCATTGTATGAATGTACCATAATGTGGTTCACTCACTTTTCTTCTTTTTTTTTTTAAATTGTACGTTAGATAAAGGTTTACAGAGCAAATTAGTTTCTCATTAAACAATTAATACTCGTTTTGTGACATTGACTGCCTACCCCATGACATATCAATACTGTCCCCTTCTTGACCTTGGGTTCCCCATTTCTATTTGACCAGCTTTCCTGTCCCCTCCTGCCTTCTCGTCCTTGCGCCTTGTCTGGTGTGCCCCTTTAGTCTCATTTAGTTTTATGGGCCTGTTTAGTCTTTGGCTGAAGGGTGAACCTCAGGAGTGACTTCAGTATTGAGTTAAAAGGGTTCCCGGGGGCCATACTCTCAGGGTTTCTCCAGTCTCTGTCAGACCAGTTTAAGTCTGGTCTTTCGTGAGTTAGAATTTTGTTCTATATTTTTCTCCAGTTCTGCCTGTGACCCTGTATTGTGATCCCTGTCAGAGCAGTCAGTGGTAGTAGCTAGGCACCATCTAGTTGTGCTGGACTCAGTCTGGTGGAGGCTGTGATACTTGTGGTCCATTAGTCCTTTGGACTAATCTTCCCCTTGTGTCTGGTTTTCTTCACTCTCCCTTGCTCCAGATGGAGTGGGACCAGTAGATGTATCTTAGATGGCTGCTCACAAGCTTTTAAGACCCCAGACGCTACTCACCAAAGTAGGATGTAGAACATTTTCTTTAGAAACTATGTTATATCAATTGAGCTAGATGTCCTCTGAGACCATGGTCCCTCAGAGAGTTTGGATGTGGCTATGAAGCTTCCATGACCTTGCCTTTGTCAAGTTGTGCTGACTTCCCCAGTCTTGTGTACCGTCTTACCTTTCACCAGTTACCGCTTACCTATTGTCTAGTTAGTGTTTTTCCCTCTCCACCCTTCCCCTCCCTTGTAACCATCAAAGATTGTTTTTTTCTGCCTGTAAACCTTTTCATGAGTTTTTATAATAGTGGTCTCATACGGTATTTTTCCTTCTGTGATTGACTTATTTCACTCAGCATAATATCCTCTAGATGTTTCACTCATTTTTCTATCTATTGGAATTTTGGTTGTTTTCAATATTTTGCAATTACAAACAATGCTAGAATGAATAATCTTGGGTATACATACATATATATGGGGCTATGAAACTATGGTGGTGCAGTGGTTAAGAGCACAGCTGCTAACCAAAAAGTTGGCAGTTTGAATCCACCAGCTGCTCCTTGGAAACCCTATGGAGCAGTTCTACTCTGTCCTATACGGTTGCTATGAGTTGGCATCGACTTGATGGCAACAGTTTTAGTTTGGTTTTGGTTTTATATATATATATAAAATGTATTGTGTGTGTGTGTGTGTTGTTGGAGGTGTATCTTCAGGATAGATGCCTAGAAGTGGGATTGCTGAGTCAAAAGGAGTGCACGTGTATCTTTGTTAAGGAGTGCACGTGTATCTTTGTTAAGGAGTGCACGTGTATCTTTGTTAAGGAGTGCACGTGTATTTTTGTTACTATTGTTGTTGTTAGTTGCCATCGAGTTGATTCCAACTCATGGTGGCCCCATGTGTACAGAGTAGAACTGCTCCATAGAGTTTTCAAGGTTGTGACCTTTCAGAAACAGATCGCCGGGACTGTCTTCAGAGGTGCCTCTGGGTGGGTTCAAACCGCCAACCTTTTGGCTAGTAGTCGAGCGTTTAGCGTTTAATGGTTTGCACCACCCAGGGATCCATATTTTTGTTGTTGTTAGGTGCTGTGGAGTTGGTTTTGACTCATAGCAACCCAATGCACAACAGAACGAAACACTGCCTGGTCCTGCGCCATCCTCACAATCATTGTTATGCTTGAGCGCATTGTTGTAGCCACTGTGTCAATCCATCTTATTGAGGGTCTTCCTCTTTTTCGCTGACCCTGTACTTTACCAAGTGTGATGTCCTTTTTCAGGGACTGATCCCTCCTGATAACATGTCCAAAGTATGTGAGACGTAGCCTCACCATCCTTGCTTCTAAGGTGCATTCTGGTTGTACTTCTTCCAAGACAGAGTTATTCATTCTTTTGGTAGTCCATGGTATATTCTATATTCCTTGCCAACACCTCAATTCAAAGCCGGTCAA